TGGCTAGGTCCTAGTGGTGATACAACAATTGGGAACAGTGCGTGCGGCGATGTCGTGCTCTGGAAGTTAGGGGCGAATTGTTGACATAGGGCGTTAGCCGCCTCGGTTGCGTTTTGTGCGAGTCCACACATTATGTGTTAAGCAGGAATTCCTCGCTGCACTTTGCGGAGTTTGTTAACGTGTCTGTACAGAAGCTTGGGTTTTAAAAGAAATTTCTCGGCTAGATTCTGTTGTGCTGTAGTTTATCTTCGCGCACCAGATTTACGCAGTGATTCCTTCGGATAGTGTATGCTTTCCATGTTTCGGCACCCGGTGACTGCTTGTATCTTCGCAAGAGTAAGTTCCTCGTAACAATAAACTTGCGTGTCCTGCTGCGTATGAATGCTTTTACTGTCTTCGCTCGCGAAGTTATTTTCCTAAACTCACTACTTACTAACGTGTTGAACTGATGAGCAAATTCAGACCAAGCGACATCGGGCGATCGTTCTGCTAAAAATGCTCAGTTTTAGCATTTATAAGTTTGACTAGAGCGCCGTAATCCGTAATGAGCTGACACACCTCGGCGTTTTCTGAGGAATACTCTGCATAACAGATGTACTTGAACATGTGGGTTGCATAGTCGCTACGGCCTAAAGGACTCTCTATCGATACCGTTTCGGTCACAAGATCTTCATTGGTGAATACAAGATCCAAGAAACACGGTTTGTTTCCTGTCCTGAATCTTGTGGGAGATGTGATGCGACGGTAGGTTGGTAGTCCACTGATTATCTCCTGTACTTCCATTTTGAAGTGTTCCTTGATACTGGCTGAGTTTTCAGTGGTATGAATATTGAAGTCATCAACCAGAAGAATGTGGTTGTACGACTGCGAGGGAATGGTCTTCATTGTGTAGGCCAGACGGCTGTCCATTTCTAAAGTAACCGACAGAGGGCGATGCACCACACCCAACAAACATGCTTCCCCACGGCTTAGGTGAAGACGATACCAAAGCACATCGACAATCTGAACCTCTGGGACATCTATGAGATCAATGTGTAGTTCGCTGCGATAATAAAATAGTACTCCACCTCCTCAACTTGGTCGATCGTTGCGTAGTATAGACATCCCAGGTAGTGCGATTTCTGCGTCACTTACCGCTTCAGTCAACTAGGTCTCGGTTGTCAAAACGAAGTCCCTTGACATCGAGACCTGACGCAGGCGAAGCTCCATCAGTTTGCTTCAAAGACCTTGTGGGTTGGTATAAAAACAGGAGAGTGATTCATAGGTTAGAAGGTTGTTTGTGGATGTAGACAACAGGTTTGCGACTTGACCGACCCTCTTGAGGTCGGCTGCTACTATTTTTTTGAATTGTCTTAGGCTCGCGAGAATGAGTTGGAATAACTCTCTGCACCATGTGATCAGGTTCATGATGATCCTGATGGTCACGCACCGCCTGCACTGTCTCGCCGGATGCTATGACAGCAGTCAGATCAGTCTCTGTGGTGGACTCTGCAACAACGGCTGTTCCCACTGAGTTAGTTCTCTCCATTGAATAACCAGTAGTCTCTAGACGTAAACCTGCTGATTTTAGTCGAATTTCTTTTGGTAGCATGTTGCGGAATTTACCCCAGTTCTCTAGAACTGTCTGTAAAGTTAGCACAGAAGGTAAGACCAACTTCAGCAACCTAGGATCACACCCTTCGTAGTTTGGTGACACGGGAATCCTGATCATGGATTTAGCAATGACATTTTCTAAAGACAGCGCCACATGAATGTATCGCCATTGCTCCAGGTCATGTGCCTGAGCTTCTTCAGGAGGTGAAGCTTGAGACTCGGGGACGCTATGAATAATGACGGTTTTCAGTGCGTATTTTCTACTTCCCTGTTGATTATTCATAACCTTTGAACGTTCTTTCCACGGGATATCCGGTAAGATACATACTCCGTTCGATGCTCTGTGGTGTCGGTTTGCAGCGTGCAGAATGTATTCCCTTTCCTCCGCGGAATGTAGTGTTACTCGAAGTAGTCGAGGCTCACCATAGTCTAAGGAGTTTAGATGTCTTGCGATGCGGCTCAGCATAGTGGGTTCAGCGCGCATGCTGATGGCACTACAGATGGAATCTCACTGACTACGATTGTCTATCAATTTGCCCCTTATTGTGTTGAATTTGGATTCAGAAAAGGTAGTGCACACAAGACTTAAAGCACCATGATTCCGTTTAGTGCTTCGCGACTTAAGAGCACTAGGTTCTTTTGTTTTCTTTGGATATGTGAACCGCACTGGCGATAGCGATCCATGTTGAGGCACAGTTTTGATCTCTCTGGTAAGTGGAGTCACAGGTGTCTTTGACGGCGTTTTCCTAGAAGCAACCGCTGCGTAGGATGTCCAGTTCTTTTTTTACCGTGGGCTTGCTGGAGTCTTGTGTTTCGAGTATGTCAACTGCATTGCTAGTTATTACACCCTAGGAGAACGTAGACGCAAGTGGGGCCGATGGAGACAGAGATGCGATGGTGAGTTTGGGACGCTTGGCCCTCTTCTTCGGCCTAAAGGGGGAGTTTGTAGGTGTCCGTTCAGTTTCAAGTATATCATTGTTTACTTTCACAGATGCGTTGCTAGCTTTCACCATTGAACTGGAGCAGGCTGTGTACTAAACACTCATGCTCTCTGTCGACGTCTCGATGAAGTGCATCGTGATATCCTGTGTCGGCAATCGTCCGCCATATTTTAACGTCGTCAGCGAACAGCAAATGGTGTGACAATCAAGCGTGTAAGCTCGTTAATGGACACGAGAAACAGACGCGGTCCCAGCACTGATCCATGTGGAACCTCACGTACGACATAAATCGGATCGGACAGCACACGTCGAACTCTGACCTACAGTTTCCGATCCTGCAGAGAATTCCTGATCCACCCAAGGCCTGGATCACAAAACCATAGCTTTTGACCCGGTGAAGAAAAACGCGGTGTTCCAGTTGGTTGAAGACTTTGTCTACCATTATCGGTCCCTTCCGTCTGGCTATTGTGTACATGCAGTAGGTTGGTAGTTATTTCACGGTGCTGGCGGAAACCGCGTCGTGTGGGTACCATGATGTCGTGAAGCTCTGGATGGTTCACGAAATTCTCAGCGATGATTGCCTCCATCATTTTTGAGACCACAAGGAGGAGGACCACTGGATGATAATTAACGGGTTCCGAGCGATTAGTGCTTTTGAAAATTGGAGTGCTTAAGCTATGTTTCTACATAGTAGGCACCATTTACTAATCCAAGCACGTTGGGAAGACATGCGATAATGGCCTGAACAGCGTTGTTGCTGCTGCCTTCCGCTATCCCGGGTGAACACAACGGATTCCAGGAGAGCTGTAAGTGCGTAGTGAGGGCAGTTTCTTCAACACATGTGTGTCAGTATAGCCCATGTTAATTCTCTTTGAAAATGATGCTAGGGAAGTAGGTATTTAACTGGGACGGACGTTACGTTGGAAGATTTGGGCACATTGCATCCGTAGGGCGTTGGCTGCATCTTCGGCACACTACACCACTCTGACTGCCGTGTTAAGTGAGGGTATACCGAGCTGCAGTTTCCGGATGACCTTGACATGCTTGTATAGGAGCTTGTTTCAGTTAGAAAAATTTACGTGCCAAATGTTGTTGGTGAGTCAATTGGTCCCTACGGACAAGCATGTTACAGTGGTCGCGCTGAGTCATGTAATCGCTCCAGGTTTCGGGACAAGAATGAACTCTGTAAGTATGCCAAGTGGCATTCCTTAGTGACGTACATTTGCGGGTTCTCCTTCTGATGAAAGACGAGAGATTGGTGACGCGAACCGACTTTGTTTCCGAAACAGTTACGAGTAGATTGCTGAAGCGTCCAGCAAACTGAATCCAGACCTTCTCAGGACAGCCATCTTTCAAGAACTGCCAATCGGTCGTCTGAACAAGATTGTTCAAGATGCTGTTATGTGTGATAGCACATGTTGCTTCTCTGTGTTCCTCAGGATAATCAGCGTACCACACATAGTTAGAAAGCGTGGTGACAAGATCGCTTAACCCTAGTGGGGTGTCTATAAATGGCGTGTCGATCACAAGTTCCTCATTTGTAAGGACGAGGTCAACTACTGATGGTTTGTCATCAGCTATGTACCTGGTAAGTGAGCTGATGTAAGTATAGAGGGGGGATACTTACGATAAGGTTTTGCAGTTCAGCCTTGTATGTTTCGCTGGGGGATGCCGAGATTTCCAAGTCGTGCACGTTGAAATTGCCGGAGACAAGCACGTGGCTGCATGTTGGTAGTAAGTGGACAATGGACAATGGACAATGGACAATGGTTTATTACGGGTAAAAAAGCATCGCTTAACAAGTCCCGTGGGACGGAAATTATTGCGAAAATAAATTGCATAATAAAGTGAAAAGCGTTGTGGTGGACTCACCATAGACTTATGTGAAATAGCGGAGATGTTCGCGTATTAAACATAAAAATCCATAAATCCAATGGTTGAGCGTTTGGCAAGAAACCATTGTCCATTGTCGAGGCAGATTATTGTGCGAAGTTTAATCCTGAATTCTACTTTCTACAAAACTTTCAATTAAGCCTTTCTAACACGAACAGGATCAGTACGTGATTACTCTGTAAACTGGCTGTGACGGTGGGCATTGGTGTGGGTTGAACATACTGCGATCATGTAGATTCGTCTTGTGGTACATCTTCCCAATTACCTTCCCATAGACCAGCAGAGGAGATGAAGTAATAATGGGACCACTATCCTGTCTAGCGTTGGTTATGGTTGGGCTTTAGCGGGTTAATCGGGTATCGGTCATATTGACAAGACTGAAAACGGCGGCACATAGCTCCGTCTGTGTGCTTTCATCACTAATATCGGACACCTACTCTGGTTTGCAGTAGCTTAGAAAGTGGTGGCACCATTCCGATTATTGACGTCAGGACTCAGTTTAGTGATAATGCCGTAAACTATCCCTTGGCTCACTTCATGTCCACCGACTGTCTCTTTCACTTCTCTTACATAGCAAATCAGCATGGCTCACAACTACACAAGTCTGCAGCACGCTCAAACAGCAGTTCGGATGGCAGGATATGAGATCGCCCGCAACCGCATGCCAGACTCAATTGGGCCTTTGATATTTGTCATCCACGGGGACGGGAATGTGGCGCGAGGCGCCAAGGACATCTTGAATTGCATGCCTGTACGATACATCCAAACCGACAAGTTACAGGAAACTGCGATGAATGGTGGTAAGTCACACAGCTTTGTAAATTAAGGTCCTCGTTCATACACAAATATTAAGGCTGCCGCTGGGTGAGTTGCAGGCTAAAATTGAGGCAACTAGTAAAGGGAGTGGATTAGCGTATGTGTAGCTGTCTCACTGCACTGCAGCTGTATTGAACTCCGGCTTCTCCTGACTAGGCTGTGCTATGTAGCTTTTGTGCCGCTGGGATTAATACAATAAAATTAAACTCACTACTCAAGAGTAATAAAATATATACAGCTATTCCTAGTCTCGAATGCAATGGATATAGCGACCAGCAAGAGGACGTCGTGAACTAACAAGCTAACCACTGTCAGTGACAGTAGACGGTATCACGGACATGCATTATATGCCCTCTTGTCCCTTCTGATAAATCTCTGTCTCACGGATATTCAACTTGAAAATTTTCATATTTTTAAGGGACAGTGAGAAGTTTATCTATCTGTACACGAAACATGTGAGATATGCATGGTCTAATGGACAGTGGAAGACGATTTCAGATCAATGCATAGCTAATGAGGAAAAGTTTGCCCACATGTTGGTGCGCGACTTGGCATTCGTACGTGTACAATTTTTATAACGGATAAAATACGGTTTAGTGTGCTGTAATTGGAGAGAGTACCCAGATGGATGAATGCGCCCATGAATTGTATCAACAAGCAGTGATTTGTTTACCTTGATTCTACGCAGCCATATTGGATCCAACAACAGCATGTCTGCATTGTTTCTGAATTGGTACCGTGCATTGACATCTGGGTGCATACTATCGGCGTCAATATACACAGTATGCTTGATGATTCGGTGTAGGTAACAGACATTACTTATTGGCCTCCGCATTGCTAAAATGGTTCGTGAAGCGTCTTTGCACCCACACCACAGCTGTTTAATCACACCTCTTCTAGTTACTTCAAACATATTGGCAATATTCCAATGTAAGTTGCACATATGCGATAGATTGCCTAAGTCTAACTTCGCGGCGAGCGAATGGTCTACAGGAAAAGTCAATTGTTCTTTCAGTCGCTGCTATCTGATAATCGCATTGTTCAGAAAACTCAAACGTTACGGAGTAGCGTAGTCCCGGGTCCAGAATGAAGTCTGAAGGTTTCACATGAAATGTGGAATCCATAAGAAAGGATTTTTCTAAGGCCAGTTTCATTTCCCACAGACGAGACTAGTAATCTACGGAAGAAAGATCAATCTGCATACCGTGCAACGCCCGACAAGAACCATTCCTGTTGAACCAGTACATGATATTTAGGTCACCAGCATATCAAAAAGCAGCACTATGCTTGATATTTTCAAATATGTCTTTAATGTAGGTAAGAAAATGGATGGGATCTAGTACGCTACCTTGGATTACCTCACTTATGACTGTCGTGGGTTTGGATACGCCATTGTCGGTGTTTGCCATTTATTTTGAATCAGAAAAGTATGATTTCAAACAGGCTAACATAGAGTTTCGGATGCCAATAGTTGGAAATTTGGTCAATAATTTAGTATGCGGCACCCGCTCAAAAGCTTTACCTAAGTTTAGGAAAATTAAGACAGTTGTTTTTCTTGAGTCCGTGGCCTTTGTCAAGTTGTTTTGGAAGTCTGTAAGGTAACATCTGATTGTGACTTTATGAATCCATGTTGTGATCTACCAATTAACCTGCCCGACAAGAGCTGTGCAGCTGTCCGACCAAAAGCTATTCGCTTCATCCTTTTAGAGACAATGGGCATGTGATTTATGGGGTGATAATTTTCAGTAATATATGAACCTACACCTTTTTGTCTCGGCATTAAAATAGCGGTCTTCCACTGCATTGGATAATATCCAAATTTAGGGGAAGTGTAAAGAGTTTGAACAGTAAGTTTGGAAATTCAGTGTTCCCATAGTTAAGTAACACCGGTGACAACCCATCGAGACCCTGAAAGCAAGCGGGTTTTAGACGCCATATCAAGGAAGAAATCATTCTCGTACTGAAACCCATACCATACAGCTGGGCACTCGTGACTGACTCCAAGCGTAACTGTCCGATTGCACTCTCTGTAGCCAACGGTTTCGTATAGTGTAAACTGCATGCCTCATATACACCTACAGAGTTATTGACATATATTTTATCGTGCATTGTAACACGTCAGAGGACATCCCATGTACTGGAGGTATGTGTTCCAAAGAGCCTGACAAGGTTCTCAAGCTAAGTGCATGCTGAGAGAACAATGCTGTCCTCAAGTAAACCTTGAAGATCGTTCTAGAGTCTACTTTTTTCTACTCTAGGTGATTACTGCATCAGCAGAGGGAAATTTGTGGTGCGCCTGAATTTTCGTCGGATTTAGTATACTTTACGTAGCCTCTTCTTCACGACTGTATTACGTTCCCTATTGTTGCATCATTCTTCTCCAGGGGAGTAACTACTTCCATGCATTGTTGCGCCATGATAAAAATAGTCTGCTGTTTCCTATAGATATGCGGACACAAAGAATGCGTTTCAGTTCAAAGATCTTAGTAATGTGGGAAATGCCTCCTAATTAATCAGACTGAATGGGCGAAAACTATTGGCTTCTCGGGAACGTTTCAATGTCAGTTGGTAGCAACAGTTTAACATTCAGCTAATTCATCATCGCCACTCCCAATCAGCAGGCTTAGGCTAGTCTGGAAAAACACCAGACGCCAGCGTTTCGACCTTCTGCGTCTCAACAGTGGTGCGCCTCCCAGCGGAACCCTGACAGATTCCGCCCCCCATGAACCCAGGATGCCACTTCGCCATGGATGACAGCCGTAGACCTGCGTGATTGACAGTTGACTATGATATAGCGGTCTCTTCTAGGAAAACGCTCCAGTACGCATATCGCAACTGAGGAAATGCCAAATTAAAAAGTAAATCTGGAGTATTTTTTCCTCTAATACAGACTGAACTTGTTGTTGCTAGTCACTAGAATGTGTGCAAAGGAGAAACTCCGTGTATCAACCTGATACGGTGCCATCTGCTCAAATTATCTGCGGAAGGTTGAAATCCCCTTCGACGAGCTTGTACGCAAATGACAACTCAACGGCTCTCTCGAAAGATGTTGTCAAGACTGAGGTGTACTTTCGCTTAGGGATTGGCTGACTGTAAACGCTAGTTAGGAGATGCTGCTGTTGATGAATACGGATTGTGATCCAAATAGAATCCTCCATGTTATATAACAATAGAGGAACGAAGGACATTGCGATGTATGATTTTCTCACATGGACTATGCAACCTCAGCCACAACGGTTATGGGGATTCTATAAAAAAGTATTTTATCCGAAAAGTGACGTCATCATCTGGCTTATCCTCAGTACACCATGATTTAATGGTGCATATAATGTCAAGATTAAGAGTCAACATGGTGGAACGAAACACAGTCATTTAGGATGGGATTGAGCGAACATCAATCAGATTAACTGATAATGCGCTTGTACTGATGTTTGTAATGTGACTAGATAATTTGTTGGTTGAGTCAACGCTGTTGGCTCCATACCAAAATCTCTCAGCCGAACAATAACGTTTTTGGGGAGGGGAGGGGAAACGAAATTGTGTCTGGCGAAAAGGAAAGTGGTTTAGGTGATCTATATAACAGTTTATTGTGTCATCAATGTCGTGTGCATAGTTTGGTCCCTTGATGAGATTTGGCTGGCATCTTGAAGAGGATAAGCAATCCACTGCCCCGCACATTGCTTGTGAAAGTTATCACTTATGACCAGTGTGACTTCCTCCATAGCTATGTGACTAGTATCAGTACTAAGGTTTCTGGTGCACGATGCTGGTTTACTTGGGCCGAAAACCGCAAACTATGTCCCAATGTGTGTAGAAGCTGCGTGACCGCGGCACACAGAGCCACTTCTGTTTCTCATGCGATTTGTTGGTGGAGCATCGCTTACATGTCACATTGTCCCCGAGAGGAATATTCTGCATTGATGCACATAGTTATCTCTAACAGCCACGTTAACTACCTCACCTCTCAGAGTGCTTGGGGAAATCCCTGCGGTGTCAACTTCAGCTCTATTTTACTGGTCATCGAAGCTTTGGGAACACTGTTCGGAGCACGCATAGTGGGTGGGCTACAATGAAACGGTCTACCAAACGGAGCATGACCTTAGTTAGAGGTTTTGACCACTGTCAGGTCCCCATGCTGAGGCTGATGTTGAATTCATGGTGCTCCTTCACCGCAGTTAGGATAAAACAACTTACACTTGGTATTTTTAACCTGGAGAAATTTCATTCCACCTCATTAGGTTTGTCCTGCTTACCAGAATAATCTTCTATTAATTTGTACACGATGCTTTCGCTAATTGTGGTTATCGTTTTTAAGTTTGTTACGTTCGTGGAATTTTTTGAATAACGTGGAAATTTTGTAGTTAGGGCGGTTTCATTGCTAACCAACTTAATACATATGCTAATTTAGCGAAGAGTTATGTTAGCATAGCCGCATGCTTTAACATGAATATTTTATTAGACAACGTCATTTCAAGTGATTGGCTGTTGCTTGATATCCCCAGTGTGGCCGCGCTTGATAGGCATGTTGACAAGGTGCCTACCTGTCTATTACCCACTACATCGCCCATACTGGCTCCAGGAGACAGGTGGTCGTTACTAGAAGGGACGGCGTGCACGGTCATGGTGACCGTGTTCGGATCAAAGATTGGTTCCGTGCACTCAGTGTGGAGCGGACTACAGTCCAGCCACCGCTTGGTGTGCGCTGGATTCCCCAAATACAGCGTGCTTGTGTTTGTCTGTGAAGGAGTGTGGTCCGGCTCCGTTGATAAAACGTGGCTCCCATCCACATGCCACCCGGTCTTATTCCTTCGGGTTTACACTGGATATGGGGGTGCGTGATTGGAGCTGTGGGTGGGGCATCGCAATCCAACTATGGTACCTCTGCAGGCGCAAGCGTACTGTGACTGACCACAGTGACAGGCAAGCCCGAAACCGGATGCCGCCAACCATAACAGCTATCAGTTTCTTGTGGAAATTTGGTTGA